GTTTATTTCTTTGTTATAATCTTGATCTACACTTTAGGATCATGATATTTGAGATATTTATGATCAATATGTTATCTAAATGTTCCCAACTAGTGGGTTGACTTACATAGTTTATCCAAATAAGGTTGTTACACTCATAATACCTTGTGTGAAGGAGTAGCTAATTGTCTTAATACCCAAAGTGTTAATGTGGTTATTTATGAAATAGTAATCTAAATCATTTCCAATACTTTGTTGGACTTTATGATTAGAGGAATATTCTAGATTGTTGTTCAAAGTCCTTTGACTTGGTAATGGTACGGTATCTAGCTTCTCTCTCTACTTTTGATATGTTGACCATTGAAATCTTGATGGGGTCAATACCTAGGGATGTTGGAGAAATTAGTGATTGTGATGAGATTTGCCACTCTGTTAGTCCAAAGAGAAAACCCTTTATTTGTGTTTTCTTTAATGCATACCTAAATCAACCACCAATAAGATTTCAAATTGGTTTTAAAATTAGTGATGTCCTAAGATCATGATAGGAAATATAACACTAACTTTGTGCAAGTTGAAAGAAATCCTTCCTACATTCTCAGTGTTGAGTTTTAATGGCAAAAGATTGTGAAGCAAATGTTCTATTATGCCCAAAAACCTATTGAACATAATTTACCTAGGACCAATGGGTTTAGGCTTTGATGGTGGCAAATCCCAAACATAAATGCTAGATATTTAAGGGCTTAATTTTAGGCCTATATTGAAAGGGCCAAATTTCCTTTAAGTTAAAAAAGAAGAATTTGACCTCCTAGGAAGTCCTCGTGTTGCATCCCGACTTTTGTTTTATCAAGAAGAAGAAGAAGACCCATGTGGATCCTACTAGTTCTAGCACATGTGCTAGGTGTTGGGTGCTCTCATAAGCGATCCTAAGTGGACTCCTATGGGTCCCACAACTTATAATCTTACTTTTCCTATTTATTTTTTGAGTTAAAGAAGGATTAGTTTAGTAGATTAAAAGTTCTGGTAAAATTGAAACTTATCCAAGTTGGATAGAGGAAGTACTACTTTGACAGGAAAAACTAGTGAATGAGAGTTCTAACTTGTTTGGGAGTATTGTAGGCTTTGTGAAAGCCTAATCTTGTATATACTAAAACAAGGAAATCTATCTTTTTTCTCCTTTTATGATGTCTAGACATGTGGAACCGTTATTCCCTTTATTAGAGTCCCACTCCAATTCCCCTCCATTCTCCCCTCCACTTTCCCGAAAAAACATACCCACTATTTTCTACTAAATTTTCTCTAATTCTTATTTTCCTCTCCCCCACTTTCTCATCTATATCTATCTAAAGAAATTTTGAATTAAAAGCAAAATTCCATAACAATTTTAAAATAGTTATTAAAAATACAGAAATAATTAAAATAGTTTTAATAATATTTAGATTATTAATAATTTTATATTTTTACAAAATTCATAATCAATTTATGTAATGGCAATATAAATTACAATTTTACAGATTATGAAATTTAGTAAATAAATAATATGCTAAAATTTTAAATAACTAAACCTTTTAAATTAAAAAATATTAATAGATCTAAATAGTTATAGAGCAAAATATTTACTATTATGTAATAACTTTAAAATAAATAAAATTTAAACAAAAAAATTAAATATTTTAAATATTATGTAAATAGTTAAATAACTAAAAATTTTATTTAACAAAATATTTAACATATCTAAATTTTAAATATTTAAAATAACAAAATTATATAATAATTTTATAAAGTTCCTAAAATTATAAAAATAATTATAATAGATTTCATAATATTCAATTAATAATAATTTTATATTTTACAGAATAATAACTAAATTATGCCATAATATTATAAATTATAATTTTTTGGATTATTCAATTTATTAAATAATTAATATTTTAAAAATTTAAATAATTACTTAGATAAATAGATAATATTTAAATTAACAAAATTTTAAATATTTTAATTATTAAAAAATTTAATAACTAAATCACATTTAAATATTCTTTAAATAACAAAATTATGTAATAACATTAAAAAAATTATAAAAAACATAAAAATAATTATAATAGGTTTAGTAATATTTGATAATAAGAATCTAAAATTTAAATAAGTTAATAGATTTTAAATATTTTTGAAATAATAAAAATAGATTAAATAATCCATAGGTATTGAAACTTCCAAGTGTGAAAAATATGTAATAACTTTCAAAACAATGTTTTTTAATAAATATTATAAAATAGAATGCTAATAAAATTTCTATTGTACTAATAATAAAAACATTATTTCACCTATATATAATTTTCAGAAAATAATTCTAGAAAATAATTTCCAGTTTTAGAATTATATCTAAAAATAAGTTTAAAAGTTATAAGGAACTATATTTTAAAATTATCATTAATTCTAGAAAATAGTTTTTCAGAAAATTAATATTGGTTAATAATAGCTTTAAATCTTTATCTATACCCATTAGATATTTATGTATAATAAAGTTAATGTTTATTGTATTTTAGTAATTATTTATTGTGATAAATATATTTCCAATAAGTATGTATAAATTTATTTTCATTTGGTTATTTAACAATATTTTTTTAATAATTATTGCAGATTAAACTGTTGTTATTTAACTTTTTGGAATTAAATTTATTGTACTTATTGGATTTATTGTGATTTTGTTATAAATTTATTTTCAGTAATTATGTATTCTTTTATAATTTATTGATTATTATTTATTTGAGATTAAACTGTTATTGTAGATTAAACTATTTATTGATTAATATAATATATTTTCTGTATTTATTATAATTTTGTTATAAATTTATTTTTAAAAATTATGTATTTTCTCTATAAAGTGACAATAATTATTGGATATTAAACTATTGTTATTTATTAGAGATTAGACTATTAATTAAACTGAAATTAATTATTCTTATTTTTGTATTGTAAAAAAATATTAAAAATAGTATATAAAATATAAATAATTGTCTACCTAAGGTTTATTTTAAGTTTTTTACCCAAAAAAGTATGGGATCAAACCTGTGGAACTGCAGGTTTTTCATAGTATGGCTAGTGCCTGGTGAATCTCAAGTGCACCTCCTCTGTCCCCACCCTTCCCTCCCATGTATGATTATCATCCAAGTCTTATCCTAACTATTTGGTGATTTCTATTGTCATTCTATTTTTATTTAGTGCCATTTTCATTGTTAAATTATGAGTGCTTAGATGCTAAATCATTTTTTAACTCATGTCCTCTTTTATTTGCTGTTAATTAGTTAATTCTTTTAACTACTTCAACTTTTAACAGATCATTTCTTGAGTGAGTGCTGTAGATTTTTTTCATGCACATGATGATGTATTTTCTGTATATAAAAAATAACTAAATTTACTTAAACTACATGTTTCTGGTGAGAAAAATGCAAGGTCAAGTAGCACTACTCGAGCACATCCAGCTAGGATTTTTTTTAAGGGGCCCAAAAGCTAATAAACATGAATGGGGGCCCAAGATATAAGTGGGGTTGGGAAATAAGTGGGGATTGTGGGAAATTTTGGTATTGATTATTTGTCTTTGCCTTCATAGGGGCCGTAATTCAATTTCCATGGCATAATACTGTCCTTTTTATTTAATAATATTATACTCTTCTAATAATATTACCCAGTTACGTGTCAATCAAACCACCACTCGATTGGTATTTAAAAACATTTTCAATGAAAACTTGAACGTAATGTCTATACTCGACAGCCTATGCTGTCCACATGCTCTTTATATATTCAGCCATTCCTTCCGCACATTGGATTTTTTTTCTGTATTCCGCACGTTGAAATTCACTACTTCATCATACAGAGAAAGTCCCATGAACAGAAAAGACTGTCCAGAATAGACAGCAAAAGTTCACGCTGTCATTTTCAATGTTGTTTGTAAAACTGTATGAAGTTGGCCCATAGTATGCAAATCCAGCGAAAAGGTGAGCACAAGGATTTACATCTCTTCTCCGACATTCCACCCCTAGTTTAGGAAGTAAACACATCTTTTTTAGGTTTTGTTTGGTTTTAGGAATTGTTCTATTTTAATGGTCACAAATATTTGGAACAATTGAATGTACGAATATGCCAGCTGGTTCAAACCGATAAAATTGGTGGTGGATGTAGTTCCGTTCAAATTCAATCCTGCCTTCACCCTCCCCACACCTCAACACCCAAATTTGACTAGCTAAATAAAAGAAAAGAATTTGCAAAAGAAAAATAATAATTTGTTTTGTTAAGAAAATAAAAATAACACAATTTTTTGAACTGGGTACGAATTTACATTTTTCAACTATTTTTTTTTTCTTTTTCTTTGAATTGGGTTCGAGTTTACTCTGCTCAAGTTGCACCCTTGTATGTGTGGGTGCTACATATCACATATTAATCTTTTTTTACAAAATAATCACCTTTTTATTATTTCAAGCATTAAGATCCCTCCCAATTAAGGATTTTACTAGATTGTAAAAATATACCCTAAGACTGTATTTGGTTTGAAGGAAAATATAAGAAAACAAGGAGAAATATATAGGCCTCATGTGCATGGGAAACTGGTACTTAACATAACAATTAATATACAATGGAGCGAACAATAGGTGCGGAGTAAATGTTCATGCTAGAGCCCAAGCCCGATTTTTATACAAAGCCCAAAGCCCAAATGACATGTTTTTTTTTTGGTAATGGCCCAAATCGCATAGTCAAACATGTCCCAATAACCACCCAATCTTTCATTTGGGACCCACTAAATGGTGGTTCTAGCCTTCTAAGTTCTTGAAAATTGACAGGTGGAAAGTTTTCGGGCTTAAACCCATCTACGTGTCACGTGTCTCTAAATCACCGCCCAAGAAGGAAATTAAAAACAAAGACGGTAAAAATGGAAATAAGAAATGAAGATAAAATCGGAATCCATGCTGGCAAGATATTGAGAGATACACAAAAAGATGTTTGAAGAAGATAGTTGCGATAGACAGCACTTTCCTTGTCACAGAGCGTGTGGGTGCAGAATACGCCACGAGTGCAACATAGGAGTCCACGCTTGTACACATGTCTGTCCATGGGATGGCAACTGAGATCGCGGGGAACATCAGCCTCTTATCACCAAATCTTCCAAATTAAACTTCCCCCCATTTTCTCTTTTATTTCTCTAGTCTACTGTTATTCGTCAGCTTCAACGCCAACGCCATGACCGCCAATACTACAGCTGCTCTTCTCTCCCTTCCCATCTCTCTCTTTCAACCCACTAAGATCAACACCAGGAAGGTAAGCTTTTGTTCTCCTTGTGCTGGATTCACAATGAGATTTGGTTAGTGGAGTTGGTTTGTTAATGGGTATGGCTTAGATGGATTGCTGTGGAGAATTTCAGGTTGGTAGGGGAGGACTTCGGATGGTTGCTGTACTTGAAGGGGATGGACTGGTGGGGAAGAAGAGTGATTGGAGTAAGCTTTTTGACGTTGATGTTCCCAGACCTAGATTTCCTCAATGCAAAGGGAAGTTCTTGGGTGTGAATCAAGCTCTGGATGTGGCTAGGTTTGATATTCAGTCCTGCGATTGGCGGGCTCGGCAAGATGTTCTTACTATCATGCAACTTCATGAAAAGGTATCTTTCTTTCCATTTCTTCTTTTATCTGCATTAGACGTTTATATTTGATGGTTTTGCCTTGATACTCTAATGGGTCTTCTCAAATTTCTTCTTCTGAATTTTGAAATTGAGATTAATGGAGGGATTTTTCTCTGATTTTTTAATTGGTATTTCTGTTGTATGTATTGGAATCATTAATCTTGCTTTCAGTCATTTGGGTGTAGATAGTGGAAGTTCTAAATCCTCTAGCACGAGATTACAAGTCCATTGAGACAATGAAGAAAGACCTTGCGGAGTTGCCAGAAGAATTAGCAAAGGCTCACAAGCAGGTCTGGTAATTTTCAGTTAATGCAATGCAGTTTCCTTTCGTTTTATACTTTAAAGCTTTCATCTGAAAAACCAATGAGGAAAATCTCAGTCACTAATTGAGCCCCATTTGAATCGGATTTTCCTGTCAATCGGTTACATTATGTAGATTCTCTAATATGATGTCAGGATCACAGAGGGTTCTAGGGTTCTAGTAATTTTTCATCCCACAGGTTGAACATCTCTCTCTCGCTCTCTCTATGTGACAGAATTTATGTAGCCGACCCCAAATGTTTGGGATTAAGGCTGAGTTGAGTTACGTTGAACTTCTGTCTTATGTAAACAATATACTGTGCAAGCAGATATACATGGGCTAGTAACAATTACCCATTTGACCTGGAAATTCCAGTTGATGAGTTGCAGACTTTCTAATTTATTTGATACCTCATGGACGGAACACGAGTCATAATCCACTCTGATCAGTGGATTATCCAAAGATGTCAATGACTTGGGGCTCGTTTGGTGCGTTTTTTGGGAAGATCTTCTAGTAGCTTAGCTTTTGCATAGTCCGAAGCACGTTTGGCATACGCGTGTCTTTGCTCTCCGAAATCACCCCAATGCGTCTTCGCGGCTTTTCAACAGCAGAAAGATCGTGGGGAAAGACACGCCAAACGGGCCCTTGGTTTTGGGAGATAACTTAGACAAATATTTAGACCAATTGACTATATATCTGACTTATGCAATATTGCACCCCTATGATTGGACCATAACTCTAAGGCGGTATTTAGTAATTGGAACCATGCCAAACATCATAGGGCTGACTTGGATGAATATTCAGACCAATAAACTAATCTGACTCATGCAATACCCCCATTCCTATGAACCATAACATGCTTTTACTCCACATAGGCGCCAAATAGGCAATTTGACTTTTACATACAAAAAAAGGTATTTTGTTAGACAAGTTTAACTTGAAATGACCAAGCCCCACTTTGCATTGGGTTATGTGCATGGGGTGTTTGGGGGACGTTTCTTGCATTTGGGAGCATTTTCACTGGTTCCTCATGGTGCCTATGTATCTGAAATTATTATAAACTATTATCAGTGTCTTCTGTGCCAAAACATCTCACTTACTTGATTCCCGATATAATGATTTTAATTGAAAAGTTGTGACTTAAAAACACCACAGCACCAAATAACATGATAACTTGCCTCAGCTCATGGACTCGATATCATGATTTAAGTTGAAAAGAGGTAAGTTAAAAGCACGATGTACCAAATACTATGATAACCTGCATCTGTTCATGGAGTCTTTAACAACTTGAATAGGTTCACTACTACATTTGACATGAAGTGCACTATAATTAGAGATTGTCAAGTTCTGTAGCAACAGTGGAAGATTACTTGACTAGGCAGAAATTACGTCTTAATTAATTTCTGTCCTGTCAGTATAGAATCTTCTGGACCACAATTGATCATAATATCTATTCTCCCCAAAAGCAGGTGACTGACTGATAGGAAATCGGTGCAAGTTTTGTGCTTTGGCTCTATCCTAAGTGTTTCACATTTCATTTAGATTTTCAGGTCAGTTGCAGCTAGTAGAGACACACAACCTAATGGGGTTTTGCATTTTAGTTATTTTGTATTCTCTACTCTTTAGTGATATGCATAGCCTGATTCCTAAATGAACAATTTTGTTTTGGTTTACGAATGTTAGGTTCACATATCTGAAGCAAGGGTTTCCACTGCAATGGCTAAGTTAGCTTACATGGAAGCATTAGCAAGTGATAAGCTGATACAGGACACCAACAGAATAGAATCTGAAACAAACTCTCCTAGCAGTTCTTCAGCTTCTTTGGATACTGTAAAAAGAAAGATGCCGCCAAAAAGCCTGAATGTGTCAGGTCCTGTCAAGCAGTATCATCCCTTCATGAAGAATTTCTGGTATCCAGTGGCTTTCTCCAATGATCTGAAAGATGACACCATGGTATGCCATTTCTACTCCAACATGATATTTATTCCTATGTAATACTCATTAGATTTACAAGCTAGAAACATATTGTTTCCTTCATCTATATATTTCTGATCCTGGCCTTTCTTTTTAACGTTTCTGTTTCAGATTCCTATAGATTGCTTTGAGGAGCCATGGGTCGTGTTTCGTGGCAATGATGGTAAACCTGGTTGTGTTCAAAATACATGTGCTCATAGAGCATGCCCACTTCATCTTGGTTCAGTCAGTGAGGGCCGGATCCAGTGTCCCTACCATGGTAAGCTGGATTTGGTAGTAAAGAATTAAATATGCATAATAATCATATGCATGGTTATATTCCTTTGCAATAAAATGGCAAAAACTTCTCAGTTCTGCACATCTATTAAATTTTAGTAACTTGGGGTGGATGAACTTCAGGGTGGGAATACTCTACTGATGGAAAATGTGTGAAAATGCCATCAACCCGATTACTCAATGTGAAGCTAAGATCATTACCATGCCTCGAGCATGAAGGTTTTATCTGGATCTGGCCCAGCAGTGAACCTCCAACAACCACACTTCCTTCTCTAGAACCTCCTCCAGGATTTAAAGTCCATGCAGAGGTAAAAATAAATGTCATCGATGCATGCGTATATTTACAAGTTCATTTATTTGATCTGTTGTATTTTTTTCTATATGGTCATAGCAACTAATGCTGTTCTTATTGATATCCTCATGACTGCTAGATTGTCATGGAACTGCCTGTAGAACATGGACTACTTCTTGATAACCTTCTGGACCTTGCTCATGCTCCTTTCACACACACATCTACCTTTGCCAAGGGATGGAGTGTACCCAGGTTTGTCCCTGTTTATTTCAATCTTAAAGATGTTAACAATACAATCAAAGAAATAGGATTCCTGCAATCGTTTCCATGATAATTCATAGATTTACTTGAACATCCAAATATATGTAATAATCAAGTATTAGAAACAAGGTCGAGGGGTAAGCCTGACTTTGAGATTTATATATGTACCTAGATTCTGATTCTTAATCAGGGTACATTTGAATGAGGTGAATTCTTGTGCCACCTATACGGTAGTTCAGGATAAAAAATCTGATAGTTATACTAAAATGAATTTGTTTACAACAAAATAACAAAAATAGACTTTCTCATTAATAGTGCAACTATTTGATTTCTTTTATTTATTTATTGTTTTTTTTTTGAGTTTTCAGCTTGGTGAAATTCTTGACACCTGTCTCCGGCCTTCAAGGTTATTGGGATCCTTACCCAATAAACATGGAGTTCCGGCCACCTTGTATGGTAATCTCAACAATTGCGATCTCAAAGCCTGGAAAGTTGGAGGGGCAGAGTATCCAGCAATGTGCTACTCACCTTCACCAGTTACATGTTTGTTTGCCTTCATCAAGACAGAAGACGAGGTTATTATACAGAATGTCACTTGATTTTGCTCCTTTGCTAAAGCATATTCCATTCATGCACCTCTTGTGGAAGCATTTGGCAAATAAGGTGAAGACCATTGCTCCATAAATTAGTACCAAAAATGAATAAAGTTCCTATATCAGCTACTGCAATTAATTGACTTAAGTTAGAAAGTTTGGTAATGTCTAGAATCTTATACCTTATCAAAACCCTAAGATAAATTAGACATACACAAATTACACAGACTAAAAAAGATGATGGCTTTCTGCTAAAAATGCAAATAACCTGTAACAAGAATCCCTGTGGTTTTGGCTAATGGTTTTATGATAAATATTCATGGCAGATGTCATAGCATTTCTTTCTTCATTTCATGAAAGCGAAAAGTGGAATAATTACTAAACCAACCAATCTTGTGAAACTATTGGTGTTGGTTCAATTTTGCCTTGCTTGATTAATGTATATCCCTATCATGTGAATTTGTGTCACAAGAAGCCCAAGTTTATGACCAACGACCAAAGGCCCCTATATATAATCTATAAACTAAATAATCTACATTTTTGGTTAAAAAAATAAATGCCCTAATTACTGAGGAAGGAAGGACATGATGCTTGAAATCAGACTGAAGAGGGATCATAATCTCATTAGAAGTACAACCTTCACTTCATAAGATGGATTTCATCATCATTCAGTTCTCATCTTTTTCTTGTCTCCCTAAATCCTAGATGAATTAATGAATGACACAGGTTTTGGAGGAGGATCTACGGCTGGTGATTGGCCAACAAGACCGTATGATTAATGGAGCAAATATCTGGAACTGGCCTGTGCCCTATGATAAGTTAGGAGTAAGATACAGGTTATGGAGAGATGCAGTGGAGCGGGGAGCTAAGCACTTGCCCTTCAGCAAATCCAAGTAGAATTGATTGATTGACAGGTTTGGTTGCATGTTGGTGATGAGAAGGGCATCCCTTGAAGCCGACCAGATATTGCAGTGCAGGTTATTCATCCCTCCCTGTCAGTTTTTCAAGTTTGGCCAACCTTCCCTAATTTTCTCAGAAGAATTTTTAGTGACAAAGTGGAAACTGTTGATGAATCAGAGACGTAGAAGAGATGATCCCCACCAACTAGTCCAATGTAAAATAGTCAAACTGTACGCTGTATTTGTTGCTTTATGTGTACAGTATGGCTCCATTTTTTTCTCCTTTTACCCATTTCTCAACTCAATATATTCAAAGAGCCCCCATGTATGATCAGTGTTTCAGATTATTTCCAGAAGTTGAAACTGGTCATTGACCTCTTACCGAGTGATGCTACATCTGTTTGTGATATTATCAAGAACAGTTCCAAAACAATTCATTTCTTATTTAAATGTTCAGAACAACATTATGAAATGAATATCATATAAAAAGAAATTAATCTAGTCTCCAGAAGACGAGGAGAAACGGGTTCAATAATATGTTTCAAAAAAACTGGTTGAATAATGAGTTCACTTTCCCTTGTTAATCATTTTAAGCAATTAGATTCAGTAAAATCTTGCATGCTTCATTAACAAAAGAAAAGGCCAAATCTGCTCTATTTAAACAACCTCGCTAAAATCCCTGATAACCAATTCTCCCTTCAAAACCTTCATACTCTATGCCTAAAAACTCATCTAGAACTTCAGGGAGAAATTCCTTTCTTCCTATTCTTCTTGGTTGAGTAGAAGATACATATTCGAATCAAAGAAAAACTCATCCAAATCTCAACATATCTGTTTCACTGTTAAATTTAAAATAATGGTAAAATATTCCTTCTCATTTAATCATCAACCAATCTGAATTGAGATATGACTCAAAGGTTTGGTTGAAAGAATGATGATCATGATTCAAAGAGTTGCTTTCATTCAATTGCTTAACTATTCAAGTCATTGAAATTAGGAGTCATGTCAATATTTAGACGGAAATACGATTTTAGAGCCCAAATTAAAATGACATCATTAGTTCTCAGAGAAGCTCGTGACATTAGAATTGTAATTTTACTTTATTATGTTTGTAAGGATACTTCTAGTTAACAGTGATTTAAATTACACGGGTCTAATGTATGCTTAATTTACGGTGTCGTTTGTGCCAAATCATGCATGCCTCAAAGATTGTTGACAAGAGAGAGATGGGTTTTTAATCAAATTTGTACCTCTTTGAATTCCTACTGAATTGAGTTCTTTATTGAATTGATTATTTATGAGTTAATTATCCAACCAAAAGTAAGATGCAAAGATCCTTGTATAGTACAAATCACGACTAATAATACACAAACTAAATTACAATCAATGGATCTTTCTGCACTTCAATTGTTAAACTGTAATATTACTTTATATTAGTCAATATAAATAACAGTCTAGCACAGTCGATACAGAAAAAAAAATGGTAGAAGAAAACTAAGAGAAAGATGAAGCTAATTTTGGAAAGAAAACTGGGTAGCTTCTCTTCAAGTTCATCCTCTAAATACAATGATGAAGTTGCCAGTAAGATACAAATTTGTACTTTCTGTTTTTTTAATTTCGCGTTCCATTCCTTCAAATTCTTGTCAATTATAAGATTTTCTCAACTTTTCACGTCAAATTGTAAGACATCATTGCTCTGTTTTAGGTACTCAGACTGGTTTATTCTGACCTGCTATTTCTTATTAGTGATCCTGCCAGCTCTTCCATTTTGTTTAATATTTAACTGAAGGACAAAAATGACCACGTTTTAAGAAAATGTTAGGTTTCATGTAGCCATCCCCTTCTTGGTGTCAATCACTTGGATGGTTGAATTAATGCATAGTCTTTTAACTTCATCCAAGCATATTGATATAGTTCAGTTTCCATTCTACAAAAATGATCAGTAGCAGAACAATGGATCGAATTAGAACACATAGGAGATGGCATAATGAACTCAAAATCTTAGGAGTAAAACAACTCTCTATTTTTATTACATATTAAAACACAAACAAAAGCCAAAATTACATGAATCTGAAACATCCCACGAAAGACTCATAATCCAAAGATTTCTCTCCTCCCAGTAAAAGCCAAATGATGGAAAAGAAACTCCAACTACAAGTAAAACAAAGCAGGGGGAAGAGCAAGTTAAGAAAGAAAATTTCTTGTTTTTCTAATCAAAATTGAAAACCCCACTTGAGAATTTGAGATAAAAGATTATAGAGCTGAACTGCAAAAGGGGCAGAAGCTGAACTCGGGTTCAACAACGCGAGAGCAAGAGTGGCAGCGGAGAACATCGGAGAGGCATGGGGAGGGAGGGAGAAGGATTGAGGGAAGAAGAGGGAGCAGTTGTTGCAGTACAAGGCTGGCTATTTGCCGGGCCAACACCACACCGGAATGAAGAACACTTTAAGGACCTTCTCGTACTCAACCAAATCCGCTACCGAGCCGCAGTTGATGCAGCGGCCGGCGCCGGCCATGAGCACCCTGCTCACTTGTTGCTCTAATCCTCCCGCAAAGAAGAAAAATATCTCTTATGCTTTCTTCCATAAATTCTGAAAACTGATCACAGGTTCACAACTACCGAACGAAACGGGTTGTGTCGTTCTCTTCTCCTTTATCGAACCTATATGTTATCTTTCCATCTATTTTTGACTTCGTTCAGTTCGTAACACACCAAAAATATCCGACGATAGATAATGCTAAGAAGACACCAAAAATAAAAGGCAAGGGAACACATAATTTTTAACGTGAAAAACCCCCTCAATGTGCGGAATAAAAACCACGGGACCTAGTCGAGTAAAATCTACACTATAAAGATATATTAAGTACAACAAAGTGTCTCCAAACAAAATGATTCACCACAAGCCCCTATTGACAATCATCTAGTGGAAATCACAAAAAATAGTCCAAATAACCCATAATAGGGTACAAACAGTCCAACCAAAAGAGACGAAGAAACGAAAATATGACCGTACAGATTAAAGCCCACGATGTCAAGAACAATATACTGAAAAATCATAAAAAACGGAGCACAAATGATTACCCGTTTTGATGAAGACAATGAGCAGAAATCTTCTCTCGTTGAAGGTTGAAGACGCGGCTAGCGTCGTTGGCTACTACCTGTGGCGGCTAGCGGTGACTATTGTTGGAGCGACGAAATGGAGGCGGCAATCGATGGTGGAGATGGAGCGGTGGATGGCATCGTTCTCTGTTTTGGTCGCAAAAAAAAGGAAAGGACGATGATAGTCCCCTTTCCAAATTTTCTTCCCCCCCCCCCTTTGTTTTTGGTGAATGCGGCGGTTTCCTCGATAGAAAATAGATAACGAGAGTTTTTCTTTTATATTAAAGGGTTGTGGGCCCCCACTTTTGGAGGACCCACAACAAACTCCCCTTCCGACTCAAGTGGAGGCAAATGCCAAACCGGTAATCAAACGACAAGCTTCAAACTTTCCTCTCGGCAGAATCTTTGTCAACATGTCTGAACCATTATCATCTGTATGAATATTTTCAAGTTCTATCAACTTAGAGTCCAGAACATCCCATATCCAATGATACCGCACATCAATATGTTTAGATCTACCGTGAAAAGTAGGATTCCTTCCAAGATGGATAGCACTCTGACTATCACAATATAAGACATACCTCTGTTGAGTGAAACCAATTTCATGCACAAACTTTTTCATCCACAGCAACTCCTTACATGCTTCAGTAATAGCGATGAACTCAGCCTCAGTCATAGACAATGCAACACACTTCTGCAACCTAGACTGCCAAGCCACAGCTCCCCCTGCAAAGGTAATTAAATGGCCAAAAGTAGACTTTCTAGAATCAACATCCCCAGCCATGTCTGAATCTGTATAGCTACAAAGAATATGTTTCTCAATTCCAAAATAGAGTTTTAAACTAGAAGTACCCCAGAGATATCTCAATATCCACTTCACAGCAGTCCAATGTTCTCTACCTGGATTGGATAGAAAACAACTAACAACACCAATTGCATGAGCTATATCAGGCCTTGCGCAAACTATTGCATACATTAAACTTCCTACTGCAGATGCATAAGGAATATATTGCATGTCTTCTTTTTCTTTATCACTAGAAGGAGCTTGTCTAGTACTAAGCTTAGAGTGTAAAGCAAGAGGTGTACTTACCACTTTAGCTTTATCCATATGAAACCGCTGAAGTATTTTCTTAATATATTTCTCTTGAAATAACCACAACTTTTTGGCTTCTCTGTCACGAGTAATCTGCATGCCAAGTATATGTCTTGCTRGTCCCAAGTCTTTCATTGCAAAAGACTTACTAAGCTCCTTTTTCAACCTGTCAATTCTAGAACAATTATGACCAACAATCAACATGTCATCAACATAGAGCAATAAAATGAAGTCATTATCAGAAAACTTCTGCACAAAAACACGATGGTCTGAGGTAGTCTTCTTAAATCCCTGTTGGATCATAACAGACTCAAACTTCTTGTACCATTGCCTCGGGGCTTGTTTCAACCCATATAGACTTTTCTTCAATCTGCAAACATAGTCTTCTTTACCCTTTACCACGAAACCTTTTGGTTGCTCCATGTAAATTTCCTCCTCCAAATCACCATGAAGGAAAGCCGTTTTTACATTCATCTGCTTAACCTCTAAATCAAGACTGGCTGCCAAACCAAGAACAACTCGGATAGAAGACATTTTGACAACATGCGAGAAAATCTCCTCAAAGTCAATTCCCTTTTTCTAATAGTAGCCTTTGACAACTAATCTAGCTTTGTGTCGTGGATTAGAAGTATTCTCCTCAGTCTTTAACCTGTAAACCCATCGATTCTGCAAAGCTTTCCTGTCCTTAGGTAACTTGACCAGCTCAAAAGTATGGTTGTCAACCAAAGATTTCATCTCATCATTCGTAGCGGCAACCCATTCTTTCTTATGCTCAGACTCCATAGCCTCTTTGTAGCATTCAGGTTCTCCCCCATCAGTGAGAATCACATATTCATTAGACGAATAGTGAGTAGAGGGAATATGTTGTCTAGAAGACCTTCTAAGTGGGGCAACAGGTTCACCAATAGCACCACTGGCAGAAGCATCAAGATCATCAGCAACATCATCATCATTATCCTCAACCAAATCATCATGAATATGATTCTGGCCATCATCACGATTACCAAACTCAGCTACACTGGGCATATATGTCTCAGAAACTGGATTAAGATCAACCAACCCATCAGTACTCGAACACTCTGATTTCTCTGCCTTATCAATATCCTCAATGGTCCGATCCTCCATAAAAATAACATCGTGACTTATTACAAGCTTATTTTCAACTGGATCGTATAATCTATAGCCAAATTCATCATGACCATAGCCAATGAAGATACACTATTTTGTCTTGACATCTAAC